TGTTATATGACTTACATCTACTTTCTCAGGCATGTACTTCATCATATCAAATTCTTCTTTGGAATGAACGCGGACTTTATACTATTTCAGAACAGAAATACAAATTAGATTGAATCTGTAAGTTGTTTTTGTGATATTTTGTATGTGTCTCCTTGGTTTTTGTATGGGAATAGGAGGCAAGGAAAGGGTAGAATGGGAATAGGATGAGATAGCATAATATGGGACGAAACGGAATTGAATGGGATATCCACCACTTTTACTACACTTACAATAGTTCCATAATGCTGAATTCTGTACTCATTGCCTTGCTTGGAAATAGTCTGAAAAAGAAGTTATTGCATAAACCAATATTTATTAGCTCCAACAATTGTATTACAAAAACTAGTCAAGTGATTGAATTGACTGGTTTCTTTTCTTCATCAAGAAATAAWTTTTACCCACCTGAAGAAGTATCTCTTTATCATCAACAAGAGCATGGAAAACAGGGGATGATAGCGGAGTAGTTGCTTGAAACTTGATAGCTTYACCATCAACGATCATCTAGAATAATGTTTGCAGTTATATGAGAGAAAGCATTGAWGCATTCTAACAGTTTCTTCATCAAAYTGACCAAAAACAATTTATACATTTYTGTATTATCAAATACTTTCATTATAAACTAAGTAACTTTTGCAATAGGAAACATCTATCAAATGGTAGCAACAARAGTMAGGATAAGTTAGTACATGTTATACKTACATTGTAGACTCCATCACCAATGTAATTGACTTGGATCGGATAATTCTCTTTGTTCAGGGTCACAACAAGRTCCCAAGTAACTTGTTCTTTTGTAACAGCATTAACCCTGATAATAGGAATAATATACAAATCAAACTCTCCATGCTATTAAAACACTTTAGTAAGGGAATTAAAATAAAGTTTATCACCTGTTTTGATTGAGAAATGTCTTTGCTTTCCTGGCTCTTTGTACAAATGTGTAAGCAGTCTTAGTGAGGAGTTGYTTTCTTTCATCATCAGTTAGCACATGTCCTATAGGAGGGATAGTAGAGGTGGTAACGACAGATATCTGAACAACCTGTTTGCAGGTTTGCTCTCRTTACATTTTGTGTGTTTTACTGTTAGTTTTACTTCTAATGAAGCAATGATTGGAATGCAGATTGCTGTAAAATTGTATGCATCAATGTCATTAAAATGTGTAAAAAATGACTGTAAAACAAACCTTTGAAGCCTTTTGGATACTCCTGTGGCAAAAACTTAGTGTCAAAATCCCCTGATACAAATTTAGGATGGTTTAAGACATCCTTCAGAAGAGAGACATTGTGCTTGAGCCCTGGAAGAAATGAAAAATGCATTATCCATTTAATTTTCATTTTGAATGATAAGACTAAAATATTTATAATTGTTAGGAAACAGTCAACTCTTACCACGAATGACATAAGAATCAAGAGCTGTGTTCATGGTATCCATTGCATTATGTCTTGTTTGTC